CGACCAGGGTCCGGTAGCGCAGACCCGGCAGCAGTCCCCGGAGCGTCACGGAGCGTGCCCAGCCTGCCGCAGACCGGTTGAGGTGGAAGCGGCTCTCATTGCCCAGGCACCAGATCTAGGGAGGCCGAGACCCGGGTTTAGGACCAGGAATGGGATTCCGAATCCAGGGGAAACCTGAGGCTCGGAAGAGTAGAAGGAACTTGGCCAGGCGTCGTTCAACCCGTAGACAACACCTGAAACCTCTGGCATCACCTCAGCCACGTCCCAGCCCCAATGCCAGTCTTAGATCCCCTCCCTGCCCTTCCCAGCCCGCCCACCCAGTCCCGTCTCAAACTGGCCACACCTGGTATTCAGTGATGGCCCCATTCTGCTGCGAGGGAAGAGGAGGCTCCCAGGACACAGTGATACTGCTGTTACTGTCACCCCCCAAGGCCACTGTCACTCCCTGGGGGGGTCCGCTGGGGGCTGGGCCAGGGTGAGACATGACAAGAAGGACACAGACAGTCAGTGCAGGCTGCCTCACCCTCCCCTCCTCTGCTCTTACATCTCAGGGGCCTGAGGCAGCTCTCCTCCTCACCCTCTCCCTGCCCTCCCACTGCGAACCTCCATCCTCCCCACTCCCCACTTTGTTCCCTCATGGGCTCTGCAGCCCTCCTTACCCTCCTCAGGAATGCTCCCAGTCACGAAGGGACTCTCAGGCCCCAGCCCCTCCTGGCCTTGTGCTTGCACCTTGATTTGGATTTGGGTCCCTGGAGGAAGTCCTCTCAGCACAGTACTTTGCTGGCTTGGGATCTGTAGATCTTGCATTGTCCAGCTCCCTCCATCAAGGCCTGCTACCCTCCAAGACACCCGGAAACCTTGTACTGATTGGACTGGGTCATCCACCTGTAGGACACAAGGTAGCCCAGAGGGAGAGGCTGGGGTCACACAGCCTCCAGGCCCAGCCGCTCCCCTAACACCTACTCCAGCCACCCATCTCCCCTTCTCCCAAGCTCACTTTCCAATGTCCTCATGTCCTCTTTTGTCATCCCCACCCTTAATCTTGTCCCTCGGCCACACTCACAGTCCAGGACACTTGCAGTGTCCGGGGCCCCAGGACTTTGGGCTCTTGCATTCTCACAGATACTTCAGGCAGGCCATACTGGCCTCTCCATGAGTCCTCCGCTGCCCTCGATGGGCTGCTATCTGTAGACCAAAGATCCCACTCAGTAGGGCCACCAAGGACAAAGTGACAAATCTGAGAATTAATTTGTGCCCTACCTGTACCCTGCCCCACACTGCCACTTACCATACCTGCCCCACCATACCACTTAGGACACCAGAGCACACCCAGAGTCAGGCAGGGGAGTGACTTGCAGGAGGGGGCCTAAGTGTCCAGCTAACAGGAGTGTTTGCTCTGCGTAACTATATATGCTTCCTTCAGGGGCCTCAGTTCCTCATTTCCAACATGAAGATGACCCTCCAAGGTCCCTTTTAGTCTCACAATCCCTTATCAATGGGTAAAAGGCACAGAAGTGAGCAGCTACAAACATGAATGCCTACCCCCCTTGCCTCCTTCCTCTCTTGTCCCTACCATGAGAGGGATACACGACCTCCTATTCCAGGCCAGGCCTAGCATAGGAGGGAAGAACTCTTATGACCCTCCGTGGTGTCATGGTTTGGGGAGGGGGTACTGTGTGAATTACATGTCATCCCCACAGCCCAGAGACTGACTTTACCCTTGGTGCGGACAGGCTTAGACACAGGACTGGGCTCACTGAGGCCCCAGGCTCCCACAGCTCGTACCAGGAACAGGTAGATAGTACTGGGTTGTAGACCGCTGACCGTGTGTGTCTCCAGCTGCACACCATCTGCCACTGTCTGCCACGTGTTCCCAGCTGCTTGGCTACAATAGCAGTGAGGTGACAGGGTTGTCTAAGCCAGGAACCCCCAACCGGTCTACTCCATCTCACCCATTTTCTGTGTAACCCTGCTGCCTTGTCATCTTGGGAGAGAACTGGAAAACCCCTCCCCACAGTAGCAAAGACCCAAAGGTCATAGGGTGCCCTCCTTTTAACTGTCCAGGTTTGCATTCAAAACTTTCTCCATACCTGAAGGCCTCTATCACATAAGAGGTGACTGTGGCCCCAGCCTGTGGATTGGGCTTCCAGCTCAGGGTAATGCTGTTCTTGGTGATCTCGCTGACCACTGGCTGAGAGGGAGGCCCTGGAGGGGTACTGGGTTCTGTAGGTGGATCTAAAGATGCTCCCCAATCTTCTGCAGTGGTAGATAATCATTAAGTAGAAGGATGGGGGAAAGGTGGCCCCAGTGTACCTGTGTCTTGCATAAAGGAGCTGTGGAACTGTGGCAGTGGCGATGGTCACAGAGCAACAGGGTATATGGTACTAACCCCTACTCATGTCTACCTCCCAAGCACACCACTTCTGGCCTCCTCACCCCCACACCACAGCCATGGCATTTGGAAGATGAAATTAGCCCTGGAGTTTGGGGAGTTATTATCTTTGAAACAGGTTTGGAGAAAAGTGCTGGAAAAACAAAGGAATGAGGAAGAAACTCACCCCGCTTCCTGAGCCAGCCACTCCATGTGGCCTCCCCTAAGGAACTCTTTGCCACACAGCTGTAGAAACCCATGTCCATCTCCTGCAGGAGAGGGTAAAGCACTGGACACTGGGAGTGGAACAAGGTGGGGTGAGGGGGTGGAGGCAGGTAACAGAAGGATGAAGAAGGTGCTGGATACTTTAGAAAGTCTGAGAGAGCAGAGAGGTAGAAATGGGGTTAGAGGCCCAGGGGGGTACTTACTAGAGTTGAGGGGTAAAACAGGGCGCCATCCTCAGTTACGAGGGCCCTAGGGAGACACTCACCTGCACACTGGCGATGTACAGTGTGCCGTTGGCCATCAGGTTGAACCGGAGATCGTCCCCCTGCAGCCACTGCCTGTCCTTCCTCCATTGGACACTGGGCTGAGGGTTCCCAGACACCCTGCATGGTAGCCACACAGAGGAGCCGAGAGCCAGGGTCTGATTGGCTGGTCCCTGGAGGATGACGGGAGGCAGCCCATCCAAGGAGGCTGAGAGAGAAAGAACTTGGGCATCTCAGGAGAGGAGTTTAGGGTCAGGCAACCAGCCTCTTATTGCCACTCTGTTTCCTTCTCCCTCCCCACTCCCAGTCTGCCTGGCGACCCAAGGGGGGCTGGGATTATTCTGCTTCTGCTTTCTAAACTTGAAGAACTTGCTGAAGGAATACTCCCCACCCCCGCCACACTATTGCATAGCTTCCAAGAGAAACTGATCTTTTAAGGGTGTGTCCTTCCAGATGAGGGGTCCAGCACTCTCTTTGAGCAAATACCTCCTTTTATCTCCAACAGGGCCTTGGCCAGGATGCTGCCAGCCACACTGACAGCCTGGCACACATAGTAGCCAGCGTCCCCGCTTTGCACTTCAGTGATGTTGAGCTGGCCTCTGGGAGAGACTGAGAAGCGCCCCGTGGGCTGAAGTGACTGACTAGGGAAAAGCAAGACCTGGGACAGAGCAAGGAACCAAGGTAGGCAATGAGCGGTCAGGCTGGCAGGAACCATCCCCCAAGCCTGCCAATCTCAGGATCCAGACAATGGCTGTGGTTCTAGCTCACACTGCCCTCAGCCACTGAAGTGATGGTGGCCTACTTACAACAATGAAGAAATTTTATCAGAAAATCTTGGGGAACAACTTCCCTCTGTGACTTTCTAGCTGGGAATCTCAGCCTCAGTGTCCCCAAATTTGACTCTTACAGGAGAGTTAAGAGGATTGAATGAAGTAATTGTATGAAAGTCCTCTACCACATTTTGTCCTTCTGGCTTTGACATTTTATTTTAGGTAGACTCAGAGAGGGCAGGGAATCAGGTTTGGGTTTCTGACACCTTTTCCACATCTATGATCATCACCGTGATCATTCCCGTGATAATCTAATTAAAAACACCAGTGGCAGGTGCTAGAGAAGATGTTGGAAACTCGTAGCTGTGGATTTGGATAAATTGGTGAGTTGCCTGGCTTCCCAGTGGGGGGAGATAACAGACCTATTTTATTATACTGACCCTGTTTCCTTGTGGCAAAATTCTCATCTTTCCCTTGGAAGGAGTTACTTATGTTGTGAATTCAATGAGTTTTCTTTCAGTGAGTATATGATCTATGATCAGTTTGCTCATAAAAAAGGGATAACTGTGGTATACGGAGTTATACATAGGAAAATCAAATAATGATCTAGCCTGAGCACTTCCAGTTATATTCTTGGTTTCCAGAGGATTTTGTAACGTCCAAAAGCCAAAGCCCAGGAGGACTGGGGAAGGGGAACCTAATTGGACTTGTGGCATTCTTGGGGCATTTTTGCCCCAAAGGAGAAAATTCTCCACAGATTTACCACCCTGACTGTCCCTTACTACCTAAACATATTGCTGTATTATTCTTGATTTTAGAAGGTACCCAATGTTCTAGGTCTTTTATATCCATTTTTCTTGATGAATCCTCTCAAATAAACTGCAAAGATTTCTAGTGGATAAGATGCCAAAGGTAAAACAGAAGCCCCCCAAAAGTTTACAGAATGTAGAGCGAGGGAGGCTAAGACCCAGAGGAAAAGTTGATGGGCTGAGCTGTGGAATGGGACACCTACTTGGCTCCCCTCTTTTTGCCAGAAGATGGCAGGTGGGGGATTTCCTTTGGTCTCACACTGGAAAACCACGTCCTCGCCAGGAGCTGCCATCTGGTCCTGGGGCTGGGTTACCAGCTGGGGTGGGACTGGGAAGAGGAGTGAGATAAAGGAACAAGGACTCAGTGGTACTAAGAAGGGAGAGTGAGGGTATAGGACAGAGAAGCCCACACCTGGCTTTTGCTCAAGGCTGTATAAGCGTCTTCTTTCTCCTTCCAGCAGTCTTAGTGCCCCACCCACATTTGTGCTGTCTTTTCTCCCCTATTCTCCTCCACTCCAGCCCATCCTCCAACTTTCTTCACATCACTCCCTGCCCAAAGCCCCAGGTGGAGCCCTCACCGTGAACACTGAGGGAACTGGAGGCTTCCACACGGCCCACACTGTTCTCCGCCACGCAGGTGTAAGTCCCTTCATCTTCAGCACTCACGTGCCCAATCCAAAGGCTGTGGTCACTCCGGATCTCATACCTGCTCCACTCCCCACCCCCAAGCTAGGTTGGCCACAGCTACAGAGCCCTCCTCTCTCCCCCAGGACAGATACCAAGGCCAGGTACAGAAAGGCAAGGCAGGACTCTGACTTAGTGGGGACTGCATAGAACAGGACAACAGGCTCTGGCACAGAGGTTCTGCACCCTCAAGTGAGAGGGTATCTGTTTTCCAGTTTTCTAGGGCAGAGTAGCCCCTTGAACTACTTGGGTCTTCTTACAGGTAGGAGGAGGGAGCTTCTCACCTGCCTGTGGGAAGTTCCCCATCCTCCTTGCGCCAGCGTAAATGAGGCGGGGGATCTCCCTGCACCTCACATAGGAAATTCACAGGGGCATCAGCCAGGACCACCTGGTTTACTGGTCTGCGCAGGAATGAGGGACGCTCTATAGAATGGGAGCCAGCGAACAGTCAAGGGGCCTGTGCAGCTGCTTCCTTCTTGGGCTACCCACCCTGTAACTCCACAGCTTCCAGTGCCTACCCAGTACCACAAGCTCAGCTGCCCCACTCTCCCGTTCTCCTGCCATGTTGGAAGCCACACACACATACATCCCGGCATCACTCTTGAGTGTATGTGACATCATCAGCTTTCCTCCACGAATCTGCAGAGTAATAATGGTAAATTTGGTCCTTTATGGCCATCAAAGTGTGTGTGTGTGTGTGTGTATGAGTGTGTGTGCGTGTGTGTGTGTGTGTGTGTGTGTTTGCATGCACACATGCATGAGTATGCAACATTTATTTGATTCTCATAGCAAGCCCATGAAAGCAAACAATGAAGTTGAACCATATATTAGACATGCTGTCCCCAGGAGCTCATGCTCCTCTTCTTTCTTTATTTTTCTTTCCTTTTTGGTTTTTTGAGATAGAGTGTCGCTATGTAGCCCCTGCTGGCCTCAAACTCACAGTGATCTTCCTGCCTCAATCTGTGATTACAGGATTTCCTCACTTTTCTGACATCAGTTCCATCCTACCCTTCTTATCTCTCTCAACAGCTTGCTGTCAGCTTCTGACCATCTGAGGCCCTGGTCTCAGATCTCCCACCCTCTCAACACCAAGACATTATTCTCATGTCCCAGGACCCTAAGAGTCAGGCTTTCCTCCTTGAGACATGTCCCAGACCATAGCCTATGACTCAACTCTCACCGTGATCCTTCCATCCTCTTCCTTAAACCTTGCATTGTCCTTTTTCCAAGTCACAGAAGGCTCTGGGTGGCCCCTGGGGGGCACACATTCCATGACTGCTGGCTCCCCCACTGCCACCACTACATTTTCAGGGTTCTGCCGGAAATCTTCACGGAGGACTGAAGAGAGAGAAGAGGGTCACGTGGGGAGAAAGGTCAGAAGACTAAACAGAGTGGTGTGAAGTAACTTTGTGGTAACACATGGAAAATATTGTCTCCAGAAGGAGTTATTGCACAGGTTTCACAATGCCACGCTAGTGTCGGATCTATTTCCTCCTCTGGCTGTGGTGTGGGCCTTGGAGATTAACGGTTTCCGTTCCAAGAAGAAAGATTCCGATTAGGCTGAGATTCCTGAGGCTGGTTCTTGGTGGGACCGCGGGGGAGTTCCCCCCACCCCCAGGGTTTAGAGTCAACTTCTCACCTGCTACTTCCAGAGAGGCGTTTCTGCTAGCCGCGGCTCCCAGGTAGTTGCGCGCCACACAAGTGTAAACGCCCTCGTCTGGCCGCGCGCGGCGCCCGTGCACAATGCGCGGGAAGAAGAGGGCGCCACTGGGCAGCAACAGGCGGTGTGCGCTTGGGTCCTCGCGCGCAGTGGCCACACGCGCCCCGTTCTTGTACCACTCTATGTTGGGTCGGGGCCGCCCCTCAGCACGGCAGGGCAGCGTGGCCGGCTCACCCCGCGAGACCAGCAGATCTGGTGGCTGCTCCACGATGCGCGGCATGGCGTCCTCCGGCCCAACCCTTGACCCTGGGGGCAGAGGGTGGAGAGAGGTCAGACCGGGGAAACTGAGGGAGAGACTGAAACTCCAGAGGGAAAGAGATCACGCTGGTCATCTCTTCTCCCATGCTTGTCTCCTAGAGTTCAATGCCTGCCTGCCCAAACTCCCTAGACTCCAGAATCTCCTTATTGACAGACTTCTTTAGGCTGGAGAGGAGATACTTAAGACAGGAAATCGTAGAGAAACCAGGACTCAATCTCCTAGACGGTCTTTCTGGATCACCTGAGGACCGCCTCCCCTGCCAAATTTAAATGAGGAGAGTCAAATGGGGTTTGGTGAGTGTCCTGCCTGGTTTTCACCCAGTCTGAGGGTTCTGGGATCGTCTTTGCTCAGTGAACAACCGAGCATAGTACACCAGAGACAACACTTGGTTTTACCCCTCCACGTGGCCCATGACCAGTGCAACAACAGCGTGGGTTGCCCTTGTGTCTCTTGTGAAAGGTAAAACGTGAGTGATCAGGCTGGGGCCTGACTGGAATGGGTTCTTGACCTGGCCTCTGTGATACCTCAAATAATGTCACTTCACTTTGGAGGTCCTGTGGCATCTGAGGCATCGAATCCAAATGGAAGTAGAAATATGAGAAATGCTCCTTTTCCTGAGGGGTGCATAGTTTTCAACACATTATTCGACTGCTTGATGTAGTCAAGAATCACAATGGAAACAATTTTCCTCTAGGTTTACCGGATCTGTTAGTCGGCATATTCTGTCCTGCTTCTCCCTTTATCTATAGACTTGGCTTTTTTCATCTCTGTCCCATAGTTTGGGACCCCAGAGCTGACTGATTAAATACCATACTTCTTTTTCAGTCCTGCCTTGGGAAGAGGATTTATAACCCTAGAGGCCGGCAGGCGCCGCTGCAGCCTCGCGTAATCTGATGTCCTTAAATAACCAGGGACCACGCGGTGTATCTGTTCCATGGCCCCGCCACCACGCCATCCGGCCCCTCCCACCCTGTTCCTAAATCTTCAGGGACCTCTAGCTTCCAAAGCCAGTGTGGGATTAGCTTTATTTCCTGCCCTTGTTCTTAGAAATTCTCTCGTAGACAAAGCTGGAAGGGTTGCTACGTGCTGCCACTGCCCTGGATTTTATTTAACTGACTGGGGACAAGATTAGTTTCTCTCCCACTTGGGGAAGCAATTTTCTCAATCTTCTCCCTTGTAAATGCAAATCTCTGTCTCTTCTCTTCCTTCCCATCCCGGTCCCAATTTAGGGACATTCCGTGGTGAGCCACCCAGCAGTGATTAAGAGCCAGTGGCATTGGTTGGAAGCACCCAAGGCTGGAACTTTTGAACTTCTTAGATTTCGTAGCTATCTAAGAAAGGTGGACAATTTGTCTTCTTTGAGTCTCGGTATCTTTATCTGTAATGTGGGAGTACCAAAACCAAAACAGATGTAAAGAATGAGAGTTGGGGGGTGGTCTACAAGTATTCTACCACGACTTAAGGCTCTTCCTCCCTGTACACGCTACTTCATGGCCTCTAGGCTTCTACCCTAACTCTGAGATAGATGGGAGACAGACTGAGATCTGTGATTGCTGAGACTTTGCCTCATGCTGGTTTTTTGACCAATGTAATATCACATTCACCTTCTAGAAATTTGCTTCCTGAGTAGCGAAATGTGACTGTCAGTGTCTTCCCTGTGCCATATCTCACTAAAATGTCAAGCTTAAAGAAGACAGCTACTCTTAGAGAAAACACCGTGGAAAGGGTATGCAAGTGGGCGCGCCTCCCCAGGGCGGCAGTGAGGGAGACTGCTCAACTTCCTGGGACTCCTAGCGGGGGACTGACGAATCCCGCCCCATTCCTGGTTCCCTTCCTTTCTTACAATACCACGTCCTTCTGGTCGGCCCTTTCCCCCTAATTCCTGTAGACACAGCTGCAGGCTTCCTTTCCCTGGAATTTCTTTCTTGTCATTCCTTGTCTCCTGAGATGCTTCAACAGCAGCCTAATGAATAGCTAATGGCCATGCTAATGGGGCTCTGGGGCTCCTCCCTAGCACCTGGAGTACCCCACACACAAACACACACACACACACACTGCCGAGGTCTCCTTTATCGACACCTTCAAGTCCCCAACACAAAGCTCCGCACTGGACGAGAGTGGGCCCGGGCAGAGGGATGTGATTGGGAGCACCTGAAGAAAAACACTAGTAGAGGGGTTCCGCCGAGCGTGAGTTCCCGACGCAGCCGGCAGGGGGCGAAAGCGGCCCTCTCCGCCTGCCCCCGGCTGCCCACTACCCGGCCTCCCCGCAGCGTTAGGGGAGAGCGCGCTGTCTTAGTCGTTTATTAATCACCGTAATTAGCGGTAACGACCTTGCCGCCGGCACTGCACGCTCACCGAAGCTCTGCTGGGGTGGGCGGCTGTGAGTTCCACCGCAGAGTCACAAACTTACTTTTAAGTTTCCTTGAAATGATCACTGCCCGGGTCGCCTTTGTGGCAAACACACCCAACACACTGACTTCCCCAACCTGGTCCTGAGCGCGTCCTTGGAAACCTCCTATCTGGGTGGATCTCCGCGCGGCCGGCTCTCCCCTGCCCGGCCGGCCACTGCGCCCCTTATCTGCCCGCAGGGGGCGGACCGGCTGTTCTTACCTTGGACGTGGCCCCCGGTCATCCCCAGATTCCCCCCACCTGGAGTTGTGGGTGTGGGCAGGTGGGGAGGTGAGGAGCTCCTGACCCCATCCCACCCCACCCCACCCCACTTCCCCGGGAGGAGCTGCCCCGGCTGAGACTTGGACTGGGGCGCTTTCGCCTCCCGCTCCACGCCGCTTCCTTCCTCGCCCCCATCCCAGCGTCCGCCGTCCCCACTCGGGGATCTCACCGTTGACAGCGGGGTCCCTGGGAAGCGGCAGGCTGTGATTGAGCGCCGCCAGCGAGGAGTTGAAGCCGCCGAAAAGCAGCTCGCTGGAGTTGGAGATGTCCCCGGCCAGGGAGTCCGCGAACAAGTTCATCTGCAGCAGCGCCTTGAGCAGGTAGCGCAGCATGGCGCGACCCGGCCGGGACCGGGGTGGGGGGCTCG